AGCTGAAAGTAGGAGAAAAGCCGTATTTATACAGTGGATGACGTCACAATGCATAGGTAAGCATATTTTTTGCACACGGCCCTAAACAAACTTGAATCGCTGCCAAGTATTTACCTGTGTAGTCAGCATAAAAAAAACGTAGGTTAAACGTATTTTTTGTACAGGGCCCTTACAGATGATGCAACAGGTATAAAAGTCGCTGCCAAAATCGTAGTAGCAGCGTATAGTGTATAATGTAAACACAGTGTAAACACACCCCCGTATTTAGGGGGCTATATGTACTGAATTGACCCGGCTATCCCCCACAGACCCCCTAATCTGCACTCTATTGACCCGGCTATCCCCCAGGGGCTGCACTCAGTTGAACCGGCTATCCTCCCCCAGGGGCTGCACTCAGTTGACCCGGCTATCCCCCAAACCCCAAAAGTGCACTCAGTTGACCCGGCCATCCAGACCGTTTATACTACTACCAAAAATAAGTTGGGAAAAAAAGGGATGGGATTATTATGTCCCGATGTAATGCAGTTGTTAAAGTGATTTTATTGATATGTTTTTAAAAAGTAGATGTTTATAGATTTCGATATTGAGTTAACTGATATATTGCGATACGTGGCGGTGTGATAAGAACTTATCAATACCTTGCTAGTTATACTGGAAATATGTATGTGTTTCTGGTAAGTCTTTCTTTACGACTTAATATAATGCAAAATGTTATTTCTGTCTTCAGACAAATTTTTTGTGATGTTTACAGAACGTAAATAAAGCATATACTTTCAACAGGTTTTGTTGTCTGTTGTGTTCAGTATCAATGCCCAGAGCTGTCATTTTGGGAACGACTGTCCCAAGACAGCAACGTGCTGTAGGAATATGGCCGGTCAGCCGTTACTGCATTCGGAAGGTTTTGGACATTTTGGTAAGTTTGAATTGAGAAATTGAAATAAAGCTTGATATCTAGAAAGGAATGTGATGAAAAATTTGCCAACGAATTGTTTGATAAATATTTAATGGTTTCACGATGATATTAGATAGAGTCGTGAGAAGAAATTCAGAGGAAACGAACAACATTTAATAGAGCGTACAATTATTTCAAATTTCAACAGTATATTATTATATTCTTTTAAAAAATTAAATTTAAAACACTTTTTAAACATACTGCCAAAGATTTATTTTGATGCAATTGATCAAGAAATGTATTCTGTCTCTTTCTATTAACTGATGCAAATACGCTACTGAATGCAGTTCCTTATTTAAGTGTTTTAGTCAAAATGCTGTAAAAAAGGTTGTTACCTTTCAATGACCTTTTTAGGGTTTCAAATTAGTTTAGCAAAGTTAATTCTGTCCAAAAAAGGAAAAAAAAAATGTAAATTTCTATCAACATTCTACTAATAATATCACAGATCAGTAGATTTTTAAAAATAAAAATCAGATAAAGAAACATAATATAAAATTGAAACGTAAGTTTTTTTCATGTTTTGTCGCCCATCTTTTTAATATTTTTAAACTGTAAATTAACGACGTTAGTTAAACTTTATTGAAAAAGGCGACAAGATGGCCAGCTGGCCTCTAAAATTAAGCAAATGCTTATTTCAGAAAAAGCTCTAAACCATTGTATAACATATGCAAAGGGACGACAAGGTTAATCCAGATACGTTCTTTTTGTATAAGAGGTTTTATAATAAGTATTTTGATTTGTTGTAGGCGGAGAGTTAATAATGGACCGTTCAGGGCAGTGTACGTCACAGTTGTCACGTGAACACGAAGCATGTGACTCACATTACTGTAAATGTGAACCAGGTAATCAATAGTCTAAGGCAAGCCCAAGATACTCCGAGGGGAAGGATGGAGTGGGGTATAATGTATAGTTTATATTTCAAATACATACATGCTATTAAGAAAGGAGTTGGAATGGTAAGCAAACCATTCAAATCACACTCTCCTAAGTGATTGTCACACGGGAATAAGTGTCGCATTTTTTGCAGAAAAAATACACAACCCGCGTAAGCGGATTATGCAATGTTTTTTTTTTTTTTGCAATAGCAGCGACATTCATTCCCCTACTAACAACCAACGAAAGACGTTTTATTGTTTATGTTTATATCTGTTTAAATTATATTTTAAAGTAGGATTGAAAATATTAATTATCGCATCATTGATATGTACGTCTTAGTACGTTTCATTGATGGAACAGCACCTGATCAAGGATGTTCATACAGGTGATATGCTTAGTGCTGTTCATGAACTGATTAATTAGTTGTCATAAGAAATTAGGAAGACTATATTTAGTGGATGTAAATATAAACCAATGTTCCTTATGTTATACAGTATGAGTGTTATACATCAATGTTCCCTATGTTAAAGGCTTCGAGTGTTATACATCAATGTTTCCTAAGTTATAGAGTATGAGTGTTATATACCAATATTCCTTATGTTATTGACTAAGAATGTTATTTACAAATGTTCCTTATGTTATAGGCTATGAGTTTTATATACCAATGTTCCCTATGTTTTAGGCTAGGAGTGTTATATACCAATGTTCCTTAATTATGTTATAGAGTATGAGTGTTATACACCAATGTTCCTTATGTTATAAGCTACGAGTGTTACATACCAATATCACTTATGTTAGTGACTACGAGTGTTATACACCAATGTTCTCAATGTTATAGTCTACGAGTGTTATACACCAATGTTCCTTATGTTATAGAGTAGTGCTATACACAAATGTTACTTATGATATAGATTACCAGTATTATACACCAATGTTCCTTATGTTAAAGGCTACAGGTGTTATATACCAATGTTCTTTATGTTATAGAGTATGAGTGGTATATACCAATGTTCCTTATAGTATAGAGTATGAGTGTTATATACCAATGTTCCTATGTTATAGGCTACGAGTGTTATACGCCAATGTTCCTTATGTTTTTGACTACGGCTGTTATATACCAATGTTCCTTATATTTTAGGCTATGAGTGTTATACACCAATGTTCTTTATGTTATAGAGTATGAGTGTTATACACCAATGTTCCTTATGTTATGGGCTACCAGTGTTATATACCAAAGTCACTTATGTTATAGGCTACGAGTGTTATATACCAATCTCACTTATGTTATTGACTACGAGTGTTATACACCAATGTTCTTTATGTTATTGACTATGAGTGTTATGCACCAATGTTCTCAATGTTATAGAGTATGAGTGTTATATACGAATGTTCCTCATATTATAGAGTATGAGTGTTACATGTATATACAAATGTTCCTTATGTTATAGGCTACAAGTGTTATATACCAATTTTCCTTATGTTATTGACTACGGCTGTTACATACCAATGTTCCTTATATTTTAGGCTACGAGTGTTATACACCAATGTCACTTATGTTTTAGGCTACGAGTGTTATATACCAATGTTCCTTATGTTATAGGCTACGAGTGTTATACACCAATGTTCCTTATGTTATAGGCTACGAGTGTTATTTAAGCATTGAATTCATATTTTTGGCTGTCTTCGGTCCTATAACACACCTGGCCGTGCCGACAAATTGGATACCGCGCGTTAGCGCGGTATGATAAATTTGTCAGCACGGCCAGGTGTGTTATAGGACCGAAGACAGCCAAAAATATGAATTCAATGCTTATATTTACATTCTTTAATTTTCCTTCTTCTTGATTGCTTATTTCGTTTATCTTTAATGTGAATTTAACGCCCTTCAAAACTGACGCGGTTAATAGACGTAAGAGCCGTTTGTGACGTCAGATGACGTTGCAAAGTTAAATAACGCAAACAAACCTTGCGAGGAAAAAAGGTGACAAATTGATTTTAAATGATCATTTGTAGTATTTTTACGTTAATTTAACAGGATTATAGTTTTTAATTAAATTGAGTTAAAACATTGTACATTTTGGTGTTCCCAGATTATAGAAAATGCATATAGTTCCTACTGTGTATTCTAACGCGAGGTGACAAGGTTTCGCGTGTGTTATAGAAATTTGAATGTCGTGGATTTCTAATGAATTTCATAAGGAAAAAATACACAGAATGTAAATATACACCAATGTTCCTTATGTTTTAGGCTACGAGTGTTATACACCAATGTTCCTTACGTTTTAGGCTACGAGTGTTATATACCAATGTTCTTTATGTTATAGGCTACGAGTGTTATACACCGATGTCTGGGGTGTGCTGCCCACAGGCTCGCTGTTACAATGCCACCTGGGTGAAGCAACAGAGGGAGTACTGGCATAACTGTTTTTCAAACCCTAACTGTGCTATTCCACCTTAAGTGAAGACGCAGTTTACCATTATTTCCATTTTTCCACACATTAAATATGCACCTCTACTAATTTTTAATCGTTGTCAATATTTTGAGTAATTTTAAAATGTGCACTTTAGAAAACACAATGCTAAGGACACACACATGATACAAACAAAACACAAACAATATGTTGGTTCATAGATAAATATTTATTTTTGGATTCATTTCGGGTCTTTTATCAAAGATGTAAAATATACAATTCTTTCCTTTTTGCCACAACCCTCATAATATTGTTTTGGCTCTGTAAAACATTTGAATTTAAACGGAATTTTATGTGCCTGGGTTTATTTATTTTACTTATATGAAATTATTTTCATTCCATGTTCTTTATAAACAAAAGTTTGTTTATATCCTTACAATACTGCACGAAAGTACAAGAATCTAGTTAGAGGTTCTTGATACCTCTGTTGCATAAAAGTATTTGAAGTTTATTTTAAAACGATGCCAGGGTTCCTAGTTGACAAAAATTCTTGTAGTATTTAGAAATCAGATCTTAATTTTAGATGGACATTAATTGTACTTCTGTATCGACGAGGTATTACCAATTAACAGTGGTTATTTCTATTCTTATGTCGATGCGGTATATCCCGGTGAAGTTGAGATAAAAGACACAACAGAGTCTGCTTTATATTTGGATATTTTACTAGTCGTTATTGGTAATCTAATAATCAATCTTTAAGTCAAACGTGATGACTTTTAAACTAACTTTTCAATCGTCAATTTCCCTTACTTATGCAGCAACATACCTTCATCACTTGCTTACGAGGTTAATATTTCTCAGTTTATTTGATACACAATTGCATGCTCTACGTATGAACAATTTCTAAAACAAGGTAAATTATTGACAAACAAGTTGATGAAACAAGAATATCAGCAGTCTCGTTAAAAGTCATCATTTCGTAAGGTCTATGATCGAAACATTGTCAACAAATACAACTTATCATTGAGTCAAATACTAACCGACGGTTTTCATACTCATTGTTAGGCCTTTACACAGTGGATTTTCCCATTATTTCCTAATCATGACAAGGAGCACACTGCGGTTGCGATTGGTCGACAAGGGATGCTCACTCCTCAATGGTACCTTATCCTACCTCTGATGTTTTGGAGGTCCATGTTTGCTGTGCTCCTATTTTGTATTGTCATATGGACTTTTGAGCTTGAAAACTGTTCGTTATCTCCATATATTTCATCTTTATAAATCGACTTGTTTTAATATTCCTTTGAAGCAGACCTTTTAGAAAAAAAAACTGTTACGGCCTTCAACCCAACATTAATCAATTAACAGTAGTTACTTTCACATAATTATATGTCGACTCGATATATAGTTGGGACAAATCTAGGACATAAATTCACCTTGGTAAACCCCAGATGTTGGGACCAGTTGTTTATGTAGGAGGAGTTAGTATATCTACATTTAACACTCGCTGTGAACTTGATCAGGTAGACACAGTTAAATGTTTTGGAGTCAGATTTAGCGCGAAATAACAAATAGTTACATGTATAAATTATGTCAGATAGAGTATACAACGAAACGATAAATGATTAACATATCTCCAAACAATCATTAGGCCTTTGTATGGCATGCTGATTGGTTCAAAAATCTTTCAGAATTACGCTAGACTCTCAAGAATATGCCTAACGTGTTATATACATGTAAAAATTGACAGGCACACAATTTGCATATAAATTAACATCCCGGATTAAAATATAGATAACGTTAAAAGGGGGTGCATATAAACTGTATATTATCAGTTGCGTGTTTAATTGTTAGATTTTTTGTTTCATTCCTCTATATAGCAATATCTTTTGAAAGTTTAAAACAATGATATTATCATAGTAAAGGTAAATAAATAAAAACAGCGTGGGTTAATACAGGAGAGTTAACAACAAAACAAACTCTTCTCCTCCACCACCCACTGTGTGTACTTTGGTAATAGATAAGGACGTGGATGTGTGACCTTTTCACATCGAGAAATTCCTCCCTACTGGGATGGAATGAAAGACACGTGTACGCTAATCGATTTATAGTTATTTGTTATTTAACACTTCAATGATACCTTTTAATTGGAGGTTATTAGCAATTCGTACAGAGATTTTGAAGCAATGTTGCTGTCATCTGGGTTGTGGAATTTGCCCAATGTGAAAGAGTAGTACATGTAGTCTTCTGCTTCTTCTGCTTCTGCCATGTACTGCCCACAATCAACTAGTTGATTATTATGGCATGTGTGGTGCGCATGGAGTTCCAAAATCATAAAAATTTAAAAGGTTAAAAGGTTAAAATATTAATTATGATTCATGGCATATAGGTGGTCACCTGAGACCTAAAGGTCTCAAGTGTTTTTGCCATGACAATCTCTGGTGGTAGGTGGTTCCACTCTTTGATGGTACGAGGGAAGAACGAGAATTTTCTATAGTCACTTTTACAAGATGGTAATTGGTAGGCTTCTTGGTGAGTATGTCGTGATCGACGTAGTGGTGGAATAAGTCGATCATGCTTGGTAACGGCAACTTCATCATGAACGATCTTATAAAACAGGACGAGTCTGGAAATTCGCCTACGTTCTTCCAGTGTTTGCCATTGCAGATGTTGTATCATGCTGTCCACACTTGACCTGTTTCCATGCCTATTGCTTACATAGCGTGCAGCACGTCGTTGGACCATTTCCAGATTATAGGTGTCTTTTTGGGTGTAGGGGTCCCAGACAGGTGCTGCGTACTCCAACTGGGGTCTAACTAATGACTTATACGCATTCTCCTTTATTGATGTTGAGCTGATATTTAAATTTCGGCGGAGGAATCCTAAGGTCTTGTTTCCTTTGCTACAGATGTTACTTATATGATCGCTCCATTTCAAGTCTGATGTTATGAGACAGCCGAGGTATTTCGCTCTTTTAACGTGTTCTAGAGTATGGCCATGTAGCTTGTATTGGTGATGTATTGGGTTTGGCTTCCTGCTGACTGATAGTACATTACATTTATCAGGATGGAATTCCATCTTCCACTTCCTTTCCCAAATGCCCAGTTTATCAAGGTCTGCCTGGAGTGTCTTAAATTTTGAACAACGTGTGATGATTACATAAATACATGTATCCATGAAAATGTAGTAAAATTATACAGTCGTTTTACTTATTTGAATTTCAACTTAATTTCTGTTTTTCTCGTGTAGATTATTTTGAATAGGTAAAATGCATATTTACACAGCAGTGAGACAATTTTAAAAAAAATAACAATTTAAAATTATAATATGAAGATACATATGTAGTATCACTTTTTAAAGGGGGTGGGGTGCCAAATAACCTAAAAAAAAAACGTAATTAACGAGCAAAAAAAAAAAAAGGTAAAGCGTCCAATCTCGAAAATCCTATTTCGTTGTGGTAGTGAGGCACCTTTAATTCCAATCCAGCAACAAAATAGGGGGGGGGGGGGGCTTTTCAGTGGACATTTTACAATGGAAGTAGGTTCTGTTTGCAAAAAACAAACAAACAAACAAACAAACAAAAAAACAACAACAACAACAAAAACCGGGGGGGGGGGGGGGGGGTTGGAATCTATAGGCCTAATTGACGATTAATTTCGTTTCATAATAATATAATCATGTTTTTTTTTTATAATGGCCATATACATGTATTTGGGTAAAAAACAGTAATCTTACAAAACACTTAGTGTTTGGAAAATAATTTTAAAAATCATGAAGTCGAATTTGAAATGTACAGAATAAAGAACATGAATTATTTGCATTTTTTAAGAGTGATAAAACGCGTTCTATGACACTGCTGTATCCATTCTAATTTTTTTTATTGCATCCATTTGTAACATTGTATGTAATATAATTGTACTTAGTAAAGCACACTGTTTTAAAAGTAACCATGTACATAAAACACATAGGGTATATATATTCTCCTTTTATCTGGTCCTTTTTATTAAAATGAAAACATTTATCATGTAATCGTCATTACGAATGAGAGTAACGCTCACAAGAAATGTCTTGTTTTTTATTGAGTAGTTTATAACTGAAAATATGAGATTACATGGAAAAGAATTCATAACAAAGTAGACTAAAGATCTCCAACGAAACTGATATCCTGATATTTTATAAGTATGAATACATGTGTTATTAGAATAAGATATTTTTTTTTATGTCTGGCGTTAAATGCAGGCGCGGATCCAGATATTTTTTCCGAGGGGAAGGGGGGGGTCCATCCCAGTCAAAAAAAATCCAATCCCAGAAATTTCTTGACAAGAAAAGAAAAAAAGAAAGGAAGAAAAAAAAATCGCCAAAACGTCAAAAATCTATTTCGTGGGGGGAGGGGGAGAGTTGTGTTATGACGTCTATTGCCTCAAATCTTTCACTTTTCACATCCATTTCACATGCACACATATTCGCGTTTACCGGGGGGGGGGGGGGTCAGCGTTTTCGAAGGGGGTCTATGGTAACTCCCCCCCCTCGACCTCCTCTAGATCCGCGCATGAGATCTAAATACATGTTGTATACATCTAACGTAATCCCAACGTTCCTAAACTTAAAACGAATATTTATCCAGCCAAATGAATCGAATATAGGCATACATAATTTCCTATTCCGAGTGGTAAAGAAAATAAAATAGGTACAAGTGAAAAGTACCAAAATTAATTCTACAGCTCAGTGATTATAATCAGCAATGATTCTGCCAACTTCATAAAGAATCAACTTTATTAATCGTTTCATTATGCGAGTGTTAATTTCATATTTATTCAAGTAATTTCCGTTAAAGATGTATCTACAAATTAGAAATTTTCAAAAGCTATAGAAAGTTTATTTAAATAAAAAACATAACAAAATAATTCTAACATTTTTTTTTTGAAAATCAAGATCCTAGTCAAACGTACTGTTTATCGTTAGGTACTTTTAGTTCCGAGTCGAGTATGCATAGTATGCATTTTTTTACCCGCATTATACGATTCCTTCTTATCACAATTTTTGTCTGGCATCAGATAATACCTCCGTATATTGGTTATATCGGTCAATGTAAGATAAACATAATATTT